AAATCAACGATCGACGATTGTAACAAAAGACACGCGAACAAACCTCACCGTGATATCAACTTATTTTGATTCATCCTTGCAGCAGAATAATCAGACGCAAACTAGAACAGCTCCGACTCTAACCCCCTATTTCTCTCAAGAAATGGGGAGGGGTAAGATCGTCATTAGAAGGATCGATAACTCGACTAGCAGGCAAGTCACTTTCTCAAAGAGAAGGAATGGATTGCTTAAGAAGGCTAAGGAGTTGTCAATCCTTTGTGATGCTGAGGTCGGTTTGGTAATTTTCTCTAGCACCGGGAAGCTCCATGACTTTGCAAGCACCAGGTATGTATGATATGTCGAAGTAACAAACATTTTATTTGATCCCTTAGTTCACACAAAAATGTTTGTTTTATTCTCATATTTATTCATCCTTTTGTTCAATAGAATGAAGCATAACGTGATTATTTACTCCATATTTGCACACAAGTTGTTGAATGGTTTTCTTAGTAGATTTTCTGTTTAATAAATCAGGAAATTTTAACAAATAAAACTTCTAAGATCTCCGTGTACATTTGAGCGCGTGAACGCGCGTCTGCGTATGAAAATGCATTTTCAACTAATACAATTTCTAGATCTATAAACATAGATGGATCGGAGAAGAAGACATTGTTTTAAAATAAATGTCCCCTCATTGTTAGTTCTCTATGCAACTATCAAAAACGAAGCATCGAACAATGTTTATGCATAAGCATGCGCGTTATCGGCGTGTATTTGTGTTGGGAGTGTGGATATGAGATCTTGCTCTAACAACTCTAGTGATTCATGGTGAAAAATGTGAAGATCTGACAGAACAATGAAATGATTAATATTAAAGTTAAGTGCGTCTGTTTGTTAGAGTGTGTATGAGATCTTGCTCTAACAACTCTTGTAAGTCGTGGTGACAAATGTGAACTGTTGGAAGAACAATGGAATGGACCGAACAGTAGAGTTACGAGCGCATTTTCGGCGGATTTGTGTGTGAGTGTGTGTATATGAGATCCTGCTCTAACAATTATAACAACTAGTGTAATTCGTAGTGAAAAATGTGAACGTCTGGAAGAACTATAATCGTAAATTGACTTGATATAAATAAGATTCCGACAAGATTCAACATAAAGAAGAACATCGATTCATTGGGACGAAATCGTTCTGTATGTGTAGATTTAGGACTTTATTTCAATTTTACATTTAAGTTTTCTATAGCCTTGCAGACAACAGAGATGATTTCTTCCATTTCACAACCAAGCATTTTCAGCCAGATAAAGATCCAACACACATTACCAGTACAAACACACTAGACTTCTTGCCCGTGCAAATGCACCGGAAGTGTAAAAATAAATTATTTAAATAAGAATATCATAATTCGTATTCTATATTATTTGATATTTTTTTGTATAACACATTTTCCGCTTATAATTTTTTTTTTTTCCTTAAAAAATAATTGTTGACATTCAGAAGAAGTCTCTATTGAATTATGAGTTCATTACATCCTCTTTAGCAGAAAGACGGGTATTCCTTGCTCATTCTAAGACAATCACTGATCTGTTATATAAACGGGCAAATGTTCCTTACCATTGTGAACGGCAATCGTATGGCCGATCATTGTCGGTATAATGGTAGATGCGCGGGACCACCCATTTTCCGCTTATAATTTTTTTTTCCCTTAAAAAATAATGCTTCATTCCCTTTAACTTTGTAACTTGAAACAAAAACTTAATAATATATCATATCTCTTCTTTAATTAAAAAAAAAAAATCATATAATCGCGACAAATGTTAGTAATATAATTATCATATTGATATGTAATAATAATAATTAATATTAAAAGTAATTATGTAGTTATAAAAATCCATGCAATTGGTGCAATATTATTCAAAAGAACAGCTCATTCTATGCTTTTTTTGATTTATAACATGTAGCCGTACGTGTCCATGAAAGTTGGTTTTTTGCTTTAAATTAAATAACACACTTTATGTTTCTTTAACAATAAACATGATCATTGTGCTTGTTCAACATTCCCTGGTACTTAATTGTATGGAAATTGCCTACAATAACAACGTGTTAGACTATTATATTCAACTAACTATGAATTGAATGGAAGTATCTTGCATATTATTTATTTCAGATTGAATTTCAAAAATTCTAATCTATTTTTATCTATATGCATGTGAAATATTTTTTTGCTATATGAATGTGAAATATAAATATAATATTATGATGACTGTAATAATATTCAGAATAATATATATGTGAGAAATCCAATTTATAATGAATAATATTTGAAGAAAAGTATAGGAATGGTTAAATGAGTTCTCAACACGTGTGAATCGTTATCAATCATAGTGACGTGTTAAAGTGACGTGTACACTACAAGAAAATGATGAAATTCCAACGGAAATATATTTCAATAAAATTTCAACGACAATTCCAGTTGATATATATTTTAATACTATTATTTTCGTTGGAATTTTTTCAGTTGATTCCAATGGAAATTCCAACAAGAATATTCCGTTGAAATGAGTTTTTCATTGGAATTTCCGTTGGATTTTGACGATTCCAACGGGGGTGAAAATAAAAATTTCAACGGAAATTCCTACGGTAAAAAGCCGTTAGAATCGTCAAATTCCATCTAAAATTCCAATGAAAAACACATTCCAACGGAATATATTTTCTTTGGAATTTCCGTTGGAATATCCGTTGAAATTTCTATTGGAATATATTACCATAGGATTTTCCATTGGAATATAACAATTTTAAAGTACACTCACTATAACTACGGTTTCAGTAATTTAAGCAAAATATTATCTATGAAAAAATACTTCCATAAACAAATGCATAATCCTGAACCAACATGTGTAACCAGTCTTTCAAGTGGATTAATAAAGATTTCTAGCATTCAGTGAAACTAATTTCAATTTTCATGCATTTCACTCTCAGTAACACATAATTATCATATAATAATATAGTATGAACTCTAGCAGAGTGTTAGCATAAAACTTACCATGGCATCACATATGACTGTTCCTTCTGCCATTTATTCTCTTATCTTTTTTCTTTTTTTTTTGGCATCAGCATGAAATCAGTCATCGAACGATACAACAAACTAAAGGAGGAACATTACCATATGCTGAATCCGAACACAGAGATCAAGGTACCTTCACCACTAAATGTACCATGCTAAAACTATTTTCCTTGGAATCTGCACAGTTTGCCAAAAGTCGAAAATTGTTGAAACTTCAGTGCATCTAACATAAAAAATCCACTGTAATTTGCATGCCGTCAAATTTGGCATATGCTTACATTTACTACCTTTTTATACGGGCATTCTTCCCGGTCTACCTCGATTGATTGCACCTAAAAATTCACACAAAATCATTATTTCTTTTTGGGAACCATGGTTGATGTTCTTTATATTGGAAGTATATGTACCTTAGACCTAGGTTGGTATTTAGAATGAGAAGAAAGCTAAAATGGAACACAACCCCTTTTTGTCCAAAAGGGAAAGTAGAACTGATGTTCATTCAGAAATTGTAGTACAGTTCAGACTTTCCCAAAATAGCTGATTAGATTGAAGCACGTCAAACTAGCCCGCTAAACAGAGCATGTGTCGATACAAAACTAAGCAGAGGAACTCAAGAAAGTACAGAAGTCGACCGGATTCTAAAACCCTTTTTCTTTCACGTGGATACGTCTGAAAATACTTAGTTTTTTACAGACCAAGCCAACTGATCGCCCATATAAGCTTATGAAGGTTGATTATCCTGGTATGTGAAGTTGACTCTACATCTCGTGAAGGTCCTACAACTATTGTTCGGCCCCATTTGAGACAACCCGACACAGAAATTGGTAATTCTCCAGTTTTCTGTTCTTGCAAATAGGATTACAACTATAGGTCGATGCTATATTGCTATTGAAAAGCATCTAAATACTTGGTCCAAAAAGCTTATTTGGTATCTCGAGCTTCTCACAACAGTATACCTTGAAAAGTTTCTAGGCAGATATTCGAAGAAATGCACCTTGGGTCTTAGAATTTTACTGGGGGGAGTATTAGGGGCAGATGCAGTTCGAAAGTTGAACCGGGAGATTATGTGCATAGAAAAATACTGTACTGAATTTTGTATATGTACTTTGAGAGGGGAAACTAACCACAAACATAATTCCAGGTAAGAGACTCGATGCGCTCGTTTTCATTTTCATTCTAACAACATCGAGGGGACAAATATTGTGCCTCTAAATTATGGTCCTTTTCGCATTTTTCATCTACGAAATTCATTAAAATGCTACAACCCAAAAAATGCATGAAGGATAATGAATATGACTGCAGCAAAACCCCAATGACACCCTGATTCTCATTCAATACCATAAAATATAAAACAATGCACCTTAATACTGTATTGGTTCACATCACCATGCCTACTTGAATTTATGTCATTAACAAGCTAGGGTTTCAGCCCCGAAAGAACATAATGATGGGCATGAAGATATTGAGCATAATTGACCACTAGTTCAACCTTATTACCGAACCATTCCGTCGGGATTTGTAATCGTTAGATCATCATGTAACCGTCATGGATAGTTGATCTAACGGTTACAAATCCCGACGGAATGGTTCTGTAAGGGGGACCGTAGAAACAAAAAGCACACTAGCTGATGACTCCTATTGCCTCTTTGCAGAAGAATGAACATTCTTATCCTAAACGCATGAGCAATATTCTGAAGATTCAGCTGGAATTCCAAATTCAAAATCACAATTGAAAGGTCTTTTTTTCTAATCACTAATAGATCTTGAACATGAGTCGATATTCATACCTCCAGATGAAGCAAGATTGCTAGTCCACGACAACCATACCATCAAGAAGGCCCCACAAAAAGGTAAGAACTTTGATAGTATATTGAATTAAGCCAGAGATGTCCTGTAAAATTTCATGGAGCTATTTCATCATTCAAAATTGATGTAGGGAAGCCTAAATTTATCTCATACACGATATTCTTATCACTAACAAGAACAAAGAACAAAAGAAGAGACTTTAAATAAGACTTTTATACCCTATTTCTAGTTTGTCCAAAACAAAGATTAAAGTAATAAATAAATAAATTTCTTAACAAATTTAGAATGCCACCAATAATAATCAAAATAGAAGAAATAAATAATTAATTAAATCTATTTTCCATTATTTTCCCTCTTATTCGCATTCGAAGCCGACTCAATCTAGCCATAGTCAATACGACCCATACATAATGGCCCACCGCAAACTTGACATGACATGATTTCGTTGTAGCTTTAGAAGTCTCCGTCGTTGACTTTTGTTCCTGGCGTCATAAGCAGTCACTTTCAAACTTTAATTGAGAAACACCCTTTGAACTAAGCGAAGTAGAAGCCGATTTGACAAGCGACTCGCGATTGAAGAAATCGACGAGGACCACTCGAGGAATAAAATCTCGATGTATGTGATTGAGGTCTATTTCATCGCTTAATCCATTGTTTCATCCTCAACAGTCGCCACGGCACCTACCAACGCCATAGGATTCCCTTCGTAAAAGATCGGCGGACTCTCATACTCAGTCGTCCCCTCGTCATTAAAGCGAGGC